TAATATTTTCTTTTTATCGTTTTTCAAATATGTCCAAAATAACCGAGTTTTATTTTTTAACTGAAAATTTGAAAATTTCCGCCACCCAAAGGGTATTGAAAAGGTGCGCTTCTTGTTTAATGGCGTTTGCTAGTAGCACTGTTATCCCATACAATAAATAAAAAAAGCCTACCTCTGATATTTAAATAGCATATTATGCTATTATGATATTATTTATTATATTCTTAACGTGAATGTCCTGCCATATCTATCCACCACACAGAACATGGAAAACACATATCTTCCCATTTTCTTAACTCTAGAATACTAATGTATCGTAATTTTTACGACACTTTGTTTTCTTCGGTCGATTTTGTATTGATGCGGTCTACATCGATTTACGTTCCTAGTTAGTCTTGTGATCGACGAACCTCTGCGCACATCAATGTGTCATCAATGTGTCATGACTTTCATTTGCTGAGCTTAGGTGAGATCGTCGTAAAATATACGAGTGATTAGTATAAAGTAAGGTTTTTAAAATAAGTAGTGATACTAGTTTGGATGGATTCACGAATGGATTCACGAAAACGACCCTTGCCCTTGACACATCAAGAGTTGGAAAATGAAATACAAAAAAATAATGAATGAAGAAGACGATATGGATGGTTCTGAGAGTGATAACGAGAGTGATTGAGAAGCAGAGTGGTAGACAATTTAGAGGTTGAAGAGAACTACAACGATGGACTGACATCTGATGAAAACATCGTCAAATCAAACCAACCTGATGAAGTTGAAGGCAGACGTTCAATATGCTTTTATTGTCCCAGAAGATTAAAACGGATGACGATTGCATACTATCGCTAATGCAAACACCCGATTTGTGGCGAGCACCTAAGCAAGAGAGGCACCAAAGTACCGAATGCTCAAAAATGACTAAATTTTTGTAGTTTAATAAATCGAATCTATTTTTTAAGTTTCAATAATTATATGTTAATTTTTATTCAATAACCTAACCAACTGAAGAAACAGAAAATTTTAGGTATATTAACATGATATATAATTGTTTGAATGAAATTTTATTATCTTGAGATTTTTTAAATAATACCTATAAATATATTTATTTTTTAATAATTCCGTTTGGAAATATATGTATAGTATACTGATACAAATTGTGGTAAATTCTTATTTATCATATATTGTTATATACGATTAATCACTAAAATATGTGATTAATTCTTAAATCCCAAGGGCTAAATAATTTCTATTTATAAGTATCTCTGAGTTTCTCTAACTTGATTTAATTTAGAGCAACTCGTTTTACGGATCTCTTGGGAATCAAATTCTAAATGAAAACAAAACCCATTCATTATTCCGTAAGCGGTCCGATCTGAATGTTAAGTAGCTCTATGTGATTTAAACTAAATTAATTTATAAACAAAACAGGACTATGATAATATAAATTAATGACAACAGACATGAACAGTTAAAATTGATAATAATAATATGTAATATCAGTAAAATTTAGATAGAGCGAGTAAATTCTTGGGAACCCCTAATAAGTACATAGGTACTGTTTTTTTCCTCATTCAATATTATATTTTAAATATAACTAAACATATTTTACTTTAATAATACTTTTTTACTTGGGGAAACTTCGAAATTAATATTGTATAGGTAGTTTTCTTAATTAGCTAGATAAACCGGTGTTTGATTTGGTTATGCCTTTACATTGCTTCTGTTAAGAGGCTTGACTGGTTTTTTGTTTAATTTTATTTTGCCGGTAACATATTGCTGGCTTGTGTTGTCTTTCCAACCGGATTGAAAAAGGCTTTGATGTAATTTATAATGTTAAATAGTAAAGTAAAATACACGAGTTTTATTGAATGAAAGTTTTAAATAATGAACGACGCTCGATGAGAATGACTGAAAATATAATGCTATTATAATATTAAACATATAGGTATTTACTATATTGTTCTGTAATTAAGGTTGCGACTTTGTTCGTCTTGAAAAGTACAGAAGTAAAAGACGGATATTAAGAAAAGCTAATTATGTAATTATCAAATCCCCATTTTAAGATTCAAACTCCAATTAGATTGAATTCTATTTTTATAAATACACTTTTTAAACTCAAGCAGCAGAATTTATAATATAGGAAATTTAAATAATTCGTTTTTTGACAGATGGAAATTAATTGTCTGACTGTTTGACACTTCATATCAAAGAAAGCTAGATAAAATCAAGAAAAATATACGTTTTCAAACTAAATCTTAAATAACTTAAAAACGATATATTTTAGGTATAGGAACATGTATAGTTAAAAAGTAACGAATTGAAAAACTTTGGAAAAAAATGACTTATGGTAATTTTTTAATCGCTCAGTCCCATGACAGCTACCGCCATTATTATATGACATTTGAACAATTTAATTTTTGAAATGGATAGCCACATGTCCTCTCTCATAGATTGTTTAACATCAATATGCATAGAATTTTAGAGAGAATTTAAGTATGTAATAAAAATGGGGGCACCCATTTAAAATAAGAAAGTTGTTGCCAACCTCCGGTAACTCCGGAAGTACCGCCATATTGAAAATATTTTTAATCGATAGATCGCGCATTTCGTTGTAAAACAATGTTGTGCAAGAAATCTCCGACCTGGATATTGTAATTCTCTAAAAACTTCTAATGCACGCTCAGCCTGGGACACCCTGTATAAGTTCCTTTTCTTGCTGTAAGTCTTTTTTGCATAATATTGTTCACAATATCGGATGTTTGGTGGTAAGATAGAGTTTTTTCCTGATAGATTTACTATAGTTGAAATGGCTGTCGATTTCTTTTGTAAACAGCTCCCGATGCGAGTAATAACATTTTCGTGTTTGTATCTAAAAATAGTTTCTGCAAGTAGTCGTATCATTATGGCTTTTCTGCTCTATGATTTCTAGATTACCTACATAATAGGATTTTTATTGTCGAATCACTACTGATTCAACAATAAAAATCGATAAATAAGACGGATGACTTGATGCTTCGCACACACCGTCTCGCATTAAAAATTATATCTGAGGCGGCCTTAACACATTCGCTCGATTAGCTCCGATAGATATATCTAAAAAATGTATTTTTGAGACTGATTTTGGTTATTTATATTTTTGTGAATCGATTGTTTCCCTCCATACTACAATGTAAAAGCTAACATTTTTTGGACTTACTCAAACGGGTTTTGTATTAAACATTCCCCTCAAATATCCATAAGAATTCATAGTAGAAATGGTGAGTTTATTTCTAAAAACTCAAAAATTCAAACACCAAAGAAAACTTTGTATTAGCACATACATAGATAGTTACAAGTATAAGAAGGCTACTTTTGCTCTGTTTTTTTTATAAAAAGTTATAGCGAAATGGTAAGGAAGTTCTTTTATTACGAACTCAAAAATTTAAAGGACATTGTAAATTTTTCGTTAGCAGATGCATATATAGTTTTACCAAAATTATCAGTATAAATCAACTAAAGACAACTGTTGCTGAAAAACTCTCTCATCTTTTTTAGGAGAATATAAAACGAATACGGAAATTTAGTAGGTTCCAGATTGAAGTTTAAAATTAATACCGCATTAAAAACTTTACATTAGCAGATAAATAGACAAATGTTTAATCACATAGATCGGATATAAAAAACCACCTTTGTAGAATTGTTCATTGTAATTTCGGTTGTTGAATTTACATTGCGAATTTGGGTTGAGGATATTGTTAATATTTGATGCTCGGTTTGTAGTGGGAGTTCGGACAATTATATTAACAGATCTTTTTACAGATAAGTTGATTGATGTTTCAATTATCTTTCACTTCTATGTCATCCCTTATTACATTAGATGTTCAAAGGTATGCGGTGTATTTAGGGGAAATGCGGAATTAGGAAATCAGTGAGACTGAGAGAGATATAAAGGTCTTAATAATGTCTCTGTTAAACGCTCAATCTTATGGACACTTGTAAACTTATTTATTTAAAAAATGTTAAATCATTGGTATATTTTAGTACCTACATCCTCTTCCGACAGTTTTTTAAAGGGCCGAAAATCCGTTATTCGTTTCCTATCATAAAAAATCTTCTGCAAGATGTCAACCGGTACATGTGCTATGCTATCGACAGTTATTATACAGGGTAGACCAAACTGTATTCCGGAAACTTCGGCAGCATATTCTGTAGATAAAAATAAGTAATAAAGTTCGTATAAATGTATGTCCGAAAATGCTTAGATTCGGAGATACAGGGTGTGTTTTATTTTTTTTTTTTAGATTTTTTTCCAAATAATTTCTGAAGTAATGTCAATTTTTGGATGAAAATTGGTGGGGAATTTATTGACATGATAAATATTTTGATGTCAATATGACTGCTACTTGTAGGGGGCGCCACCTACATATTTTTAACTGGTTTGAAGAGCCAATATCTTTCCGTCCGTACCTGTATAAAACTACTGAGTAACAAATATACATTCACGACGTTTTTTACGTAAAAAAACATCGTAAGCTAAATTAAATACCTGATCATGATTGACATAAATTAATCATGTTGACTAAATAGGTATTAGACTGAAATCATAAATTTGAAACGTTTTAGAAGATTAATTTAAAAAAATAAAAAGTTCTCCCAAATTTATCATTTCAGTCAAATAACTATCTACTCAACATGTTTATTTCTTCCCATTAAAGACATGTATTGACTATTTCCATTCTAAATATCTTGAGAATGATTTCTCGTAGCGACTTTTACCAAGAGACATTTTTTACGGAAAAATTTAAAAAAAATTAGGGAAATGTACATTTTTTCAGTTGTAGTTTTATACGAGTAGGTCGAGTAACCTACACTAAAATATTCTCAGTATTTTATTTCATGTCACTATATCATTCATGCCTACTATAACCAAGCAATCATCAATACTATTAAAAATTGTCTGCAATTTGTGTGTGTATAATGAATTATTCTCCGCAATGCAAACTAATTTAGATTATATTTGATTACAGATATGACACAGTTTGGCTTAACTACAACGAATTCTCATTGGGGTTATGGGGCAACTGGAGCTTATTCTCCCTATTTTACGCCCAGTACGTTAGCATCTTGTACACCATCTACCACTCAATTTAATACTCCTGCTCTTGGATTTTCTGGAGCCACACCTGATCAGACATCTACTCAAGACGCTTTTGCATCGAGTTCAACCGTCAGTACGCGTAAGTATCATTTAGTCTTTTATTAACTTAAGTATATTGATTAAATTAAAAAAAAACAATGTAGACCTAGGTAAAAGTAGTCAGATATAAATAGCAGCAACACTATACAATGTTCTCTTTCAGTTATACCTGATACGTCAACGTCAGATATTGATCAGCATCTTGGCCTGATATCACAAAATCACACCAATCACACTCAAAACTCCCACACATCATCGCTATTGGTGCCGCGATACTCAACGAATCAAGCAGACTTTCCTATTTCTGGCCCAAGATCGTTATCAGATAATTCCAGTGCAGCAGAAAGCCCCATTCAAGACGATCTTCTTACATCGCAGTCTTCCCTTGGTGTAAATCATATAAATAACAGTACTACAAATTTTTCACTTCATCAAAATATGAGCCAAAGTTCTTATTCACCTAGCAGTTGTAATAATTCGATATATCCAGTGCTTCCGGGTTTGTTATACTCACAATTGTATTCTGCAGCTAATCACCAATCTCATAACTTTCATACTTTTCATTCACATACAACACAGAGTCATAACGATTTACAAACGGTAATGGATCATTTATCAGGTAACTCAAATCATAGACAAATGAACGGAACGACAGATATACTTTTGAACAATGCAACGTGTGCAGCGGCTGTGCAAAGACAAGATGATGGACATAATCGAGTATTAAGTAATAGTGGTGCACAGAGAGCGCCGGGTCAAAATGGCGATGCCGTTGTTTGGCGTCCATATTAACGAAGATTTAATTGCATTAATTGCATTTACATCTAGACATTTTGTGATTATTTTTATTAGCTGGTGATAATTCTTTTTTTTTAAGGAAATAAGTAATTTCGATGAAACGAACTTTTTGGTATTTAGTTTGTTTGATATGATCGTTTTTAAATTATAATATTTTTATTGCAACGTTGATAATTTATAAGTATTTTAGGTACCATATATTAAGACACATGTAAAATTTGTACGTATGCAATTAATCTCAACTGTAAAATACATTGCAAAATATGATAAACTGATGTAAATAGTTAAGGTTATTTTAATATATAATTTTAAAAACCACAATAATCTATTCTCAAATTGTTTTAGGTTTTGTAACTTTTGTTGATTTTTTATATTTAACCAAACCGTGTACGTGCGGTCAAAAAGCCATAATCAATTGGCCTTTTACTTTGACAGTTATAAAAATTGTAATATAATTTTTATAGAAATTGTTTACTTGGAATAAAATATCTTACTGGACTGATATTGTCTTTATTTTTTTTAAATTTTACACGACATTTTGACTTATATGTATTATTTGTCGTTTTCTACGCTAATCCAATAAAATGAATTTCAACATAATATTAAATAAAATTTAGGTCACATTTGGGGGTTGGAATTATTGGTTTTACAACAGCAAAATAAAACACTGAATCACCTCAATACACAAAAACACTTTTACACTGGACGCGCGTTCCGCTAACCACGTTAGCATCATCAGCAATTGATTAAAACTAGTTTTAAAGTCATTTAAGGTTGTATGGGTATGGGTCACTGATTCTGGATCGTTATCAGTGACTTAAGCCGCTATTCAAATTAAGCATGTCGACATGGCTTGTTTTTTCGTTCAATTAAAAAAAAATGTGGAAAATTTCATGCTTCTAATCTAGATAATATCAAAGCTTTACCCATAATTGCATTCCTTTAGGAGGTAAATTTCCAAAAATCACGTAATAATGTAACCTCTTGGAATTTTTGTGCTAATTTGTTTACTTCTAAATCAAATAATAATGAATTTCCATACAAATATTATACATAAGTTTTAGCGTACGAATTGACCGAGAATCAAATGATTCACCGAAAGTCATAAAGCCAACTTGATACGTTTAGGAGCTACTTCAGAATTAATAATTAATTTACTCATTTATTAACTTTAAAAGTTAGTTAGAAATTATATCCGGAATATGCTAAAGTATGTGGAGGTTTCTATTTTAAAAAAATCAAGATGGCGTCGTATCTGTCAAAATTAACATTTAAAAAAATTTTCGGATAAAAATCGGCATCCTCGCAAAAATTACATTTAAATATCTTTTTACTATCTTAACCCTCGGGCAGACGCGTACTTTAGAATCACACGAGCGGGCGCGTAGCGGTATTCTGTACCGTATTTATATTTTTTAAGTATTCTGTAATTTAAAATATTTTATTGTAAAATTTAGCATGCTAAACAGTAACAAGCGATATTTTTGAAACATATTTATTAACACATAAAAAACTTAAACGCATTATAAAGAATGGAACCGAAAGAAACATTTTAACGGTGGGTAACTATTAGCACAGCTATTAGCCTTAGTCCTAACAGGTTGGGATATTTTATATTCTTAGGGCTAATGCTAATTCAAAACTGAATCGCGCATGCTCAAAACTAGGGATTTTAAGAATTCTCGAAATAATATCGACATGTTGAATTTGACAGTTTTTTTATGTTAATAAATAAATATATTTTTTGGTCTACAAATTATTAATGTAAAAATTAGTTCCTCTAGTATTAGAAATTTTAAAAATAATTGTGAATTTAGGTTAGTTCAAAACATACGTTTTATATGAGCCCAAGCGCTTTCGAGAATATTGATTATTTTCTTAAGACAAGTAGAAAAAGTATGAACGGCATTTTGCTTAAGTTCTGAAGGTTAATTTCGTAGGGTTACTGTTAAGGGTAAGGTTAGGACTAATACTCCAAGTATGAACCCACCATAAGTGAGACGCCTAGTTTCAAAACCCGACAAATCCTTTTTTCGAGAAAAGATAGATATCTACCAGTAATACAATAATTGTCTATCTTATTTGTCTATCACTGTAGTTTTTGTGAACAAATTTGTTGAATTAGTTTCAAAAAATAGTAGTTTTATGGGTTTCACATACACGGCAGGGACAAACTCGCTTCTTATTGTCTTTAACTAGTACCTTTACGTTTGGATCAAATTTAGCGAGGGAAACTTATATATCTGAGAAGAGTTTGTATATTGGCTTTTTCCGTCATTACTACAGGTTATATAACATATATAACAGATTATTATAAAAGCAATCGAGACAATTAATTAACAATTTAAAATTAGACCAAATAAAGCAAAATATTAAATAATATGACAATTATTTTACTTACATAAACGGGAGCGTAGCGACACGGAGTACCGCAACTTTTGTAGTTAACAGGTTTACGACAGAATTGCTACTGAACCAAAATTGCTGGATACGCAACTACTACGACCTAACGTGTCAAATATCCCTAAATAAGAATATTTAATGGCATCACCGATCTACGTCCAATGGATATTTTGTTTTTACCAAATTAGTAAAAATTGCGGTACAAATATACGGACGCGCCCGCTCCAGGGTTAAAATAGAAAACAGGAAAATTTTTACGATGTACTTAAACAGCCGTTAAACGGTAGCCTACTACAATGCCGTTAATAGATAGTGACGTCGTTCATGTCGGCGGAAAGTAATGCCTAACATTAAGCATTTTGCAAGAGCACCTGTGGCTCCGTGGCTGAGGCTATCGCTTCGTGAGCGATAGTGATTCAAATCTCACGCCGACCATGACTTTTTTATATTTTTTTTTGCTTCTAGCGTGATCTTATTGCATTGGTTTCACCCTTTTTGGTTGGATTGGTTTAGTTATTTGGCGGGTTGGTTAGCGTGGTTATTTGGAGGATGTTAATTCATTGGTTAGTTGGTAATTTGGTGGGGTTGGTTGGTTTTTACTAATTTATATTTGTTTTCTATATGTTTTTATGAGTGTCGAGGTTAGTTGCGTTGGTTATTTGGTGAGGTGGATAGCGTTGGTTAGTCCTTATAAAATTCCTATATTTCATAAAGCCGTCAAGTGCGTCACATCAACGACGTCATACCTATCAACGGCATTTTAGTAAGCTACCGTTTAACGGCAGTTTAAGTACAGCCTAAAAAGCCAAATTTTTAATTGGATGAGACACTTCAAATGATTCTAGTACATTTCATTTTTAAATGCACTATACAGGGTGTCCCAGACTGAGCATGCATTAGAAGTTTCTAGAGAACCGCAATATCTAGATCGGAGATTTTTTGCACATCATTGTTTTACAACGAGATCTATCGATTAAAAATATTTTCAATATGGCGGCACTTCCGGAAATACCGGAAATTGACAGCAACTTTCTTATTTTAAATGGGTGCCCCCATTTTTATTACACACTTAAATTCTCTGTAAAATTTTATGAATATTGTTGTTACACTCTATACCTAGCATTAACCGTTTTTGGTTTTAGCCTAAAAGTCAAAATTAGTGATTACCACAGCTACTGTGACATAAAGAGAAGACATGTGGCTATCTATTTCAAAAATTAAATAGTTCAAATGTCATATAATAATGGCGGTAGCTGTTACGGAATTAAGCGGTTAAAAAATTATCATAAATCAGTTTTTTACATTGGAAACCCACTTTTTTTATTTCACTAATGAAAAGGTTTTTCAATTCGTTACTTTTTAACTATACATGTTCCTATACCTAAAAGAAATCGTTTTTAAGTTATTTAAGATTTAATTTGAAAACGTATATTTTTCTTGATTTTATCTAGCTTCCTTTGACATTAAGTGTCAAACAGTCAGAAAGTCTTCCTTTGACATTAAGTGTCAAACAGTCAGTTTTATTTCCATCTGTCAGAAAACGAATTATTTGAATTTCCTTTATTATAAATACTGCCTGCCTTAAGAGTTTAAAAAGTGTATTTATAAAAATATATCTCGTATTTTTACTCTTTAGCGATATCTAATAGTTGATATTATTAATAATATTCCTTATGATCGAAAAAAAAGGTGCAAAGTTGGCTCGGAAATGATGTTGCTTTTTGAACAAAGCGTCATCCTTTGACATTAAGTGTCAAACAGTCAGACAGTCTTCCTTTGACATTAAGTGTCAAACAGTCAGTTTTATTTCCATCTGTCAGAAAACGAATTATTTGAATTTCCTTTATTATAAATACTGCCTGCCTTAAGAGTTTAAAAAGTGTATTTATAAAAATATATCTCGTATTTTTACTCTTTAGCGATATCTAATAGTTGATATTATTAATAATATTCCTTATGATCGAAAAAAAAGGTGCAAAGTTGGCTCGGAAATGATGTTGCTTTTTGAACAAAGCGTCACAATATGACATGGCTAGATCTATTGTTTTACATCACTTGAGGTTTAAAGTCCTAGGCTACTGGTTAAAATCAAGAAAAATGTATCCTTTAAAACTAAATCTTAAATATCTTAAAAACGATTTATTTTAGGTATAGGAACATGTATTTTTAAAAAGTAACGAATTGAAGAGCCTTTTCAGTAGTGAAATAAAAAACAGTGGGTTTCCATTTGAAAAAAATGATTTATTATAATTTTATAATCTCTCAATTCTATGTCAGCTGCTGCCATTATTATATGACATTCGAACAATTTAATTCTTGAAATAGATAGCCACATGACTTCTCTTTATGTCACAGTAGCTGTGGTAATCTTTAAATTTGACGTTTAGGCTATACACATATTTTTGACAGGCAGTTTTTTTCGTTCAAAAATTTTAAATATTTTTTTTCTCAAAAACGGTTAATGTTAGATATAAAGTGTTTGATATCAAAATTCATAAAATTTTTCAGAGAATTTAAGTGTGTAATAAAAAATGGGCGCACTCCTTTAAAATAAGAAAGTTGCTGTCATCTTCCGGTATTTCCGGAAGTGCTGCCAGATTAAAAACAATTTTAATCGATAGATCTCGTTGTGAAACTATGATGTGCAAAAAACCTCCGAGCCAGATGTTGTAGTTCTCTAGAAACTTCAAATGCACGCTCAGCCTGGGACATCCTGTATTTTGAAAACGGTAAACGCAAAGTATACTAAACTATATATTTTTGAAATTAGCTAAAATTAATATACCGGAAGATGCTAAAATACATGTGGGGGTTTCTATCTTAAAAAAAAATCAAGATGGCGTCGTATCTGTCAAATTGACGTTCTAAAAATTTTGAGGTAAAAAATTACGTTAAAAAATCTTTCTACTATCTTTAAATAGGAAACAGGAAAATTGCAAAATTGAGTGAGACACTTAAAATCATGTCCTTGTACATAATATCCTTGTATATGTATTTTATACATAAACAAGGATCCATCCTTGGTATATGCCATATGGATTGAAGTGAATGTTAAAACGGTAACAAGTGTCACTAGTCGCCTCTTGCTGGGGAAGTAAGTCGCACTGACCATAAAACAATTGTCTTTTTTAAAACCGCGACCATTGTCGCTGGTCGCTGCTTATCGAAGAAATAGGTCGCTGGAATTACCGGTTGGCCAGTGATGGACCGTTGACCAACCGATACAAAAATCTCACTCATCTTTAGCTTTCAGTTATATTCTAATAGTTATGTAGGATAACGACTAGTGGTACATACAAGTAGAAATGTTTTGTGAAGTTTAAAAATTAAAGATAATATCAGACCAGGAAGATAATTTAATTTATTATTCTTTATTGTCTACTATATTTAAATAATTTTTTATATATTATTTTACAACTTTTTTACTACACATTTTGATGATTCCTTTTTGATCATACTGTAAACCTTTAGAAAGTTCATTTTTTATATGTATAAAATCAATTGTTTATAAATATGTTCAAGTGTAAAGAGAATATAAAGTAATAAATTATAAATGTGTATTTATTTATATTTCCAACATCTCTGTAAACAAGATTCTCTGCAAACAAGTGAATTAATAACTACTATTTCCAAGATATAGAGAAAAAGTGCTTGAAAAAACATTATATTAAAATGCGAAACTTTGTATAAATAAAGAAGGATTTTTATTTAATTTATATACAAATAGCCATAAACCCAATTAATATACAGGATGAGTTTTCTAGGATGTTCTCTATCGGTATCTCGGAAACTACTGGCAACAGATGGTCGGTTAAATGGGGAAAGAATTGCAGTTTTGTGGTATTATAAATATGCGCCTTTCAGATTTTTGAAAAAGTTCATGGCTGACTAGATATTTCGAAAAAAAGAAATTTTGGCTATTTTAAAAATGGTCTCTAATTCCATTATAATCTATTTTAGACAAAAAGTTTTCAGATAAAAGTTGTAGATAATCACATCCTTATTGAGATTGTGCTCTACGTTTTTGTTTCTAAAGCCTGTCATTTTTGACATATGACACAAACATATGTTTTTTTAAATGAAAACCATAAAAAGCGCCATTCTTAAGCTTTTTAGAGATATAAACTATAATATGTTTTTTTTTTTCGAAAAATTACCGAGTTACAGCCAATTCTTTCTTTCTTGACTAATTTCACTTAGTTGGTATGGTATTCTTATTCTGTTATGTTATCCTGTTATGACTTACTTACTATCTTCTAA